TCTTTTAAAATGTCACTATACATGTGTATATTTTGTATTAAAATTCCTTATTTTATATCATCGGCTTTGTAACCAAATCAAGGCATATTTAGGTGAACATACTGAATCTCCTCTCAGTTAGAAAAGGAAAAAGTAATGTTTTATTTGAATTCTAGATAATAATCAAAATAGTGGAACAGCACATACCCAAGATACCCAGGAGTACGGTGTTACCCTTACACCAGCCCAGCGAGAATACAAATTTTAAAAAAATACTCCAGCACATCTTCAATACTTTAGTGTCCCTTTATTAAAGTGCACATCTGATATATAGCTACATTTTAACCATTTACCGGTCTTTGTCAAGCTAAAGTATTATTATTAATAGAGCACGATATAAATAGTGCAAAAAACAGGAAATAGGAGAAATCTCCAATAGATGACAAGATACATATGTCCTAGCTTATTTCAAAGTATAATGATTAATATTATTACCATCAATACTAAATATTGCAACATTGTATAAAGCACTACCACCGCTAAGCAGTGTAATATTATACATCTGCTACATTATGTTACTAGGTTTTACATATTGTGCTGTACCAAATAATATATTTAAAAACTTGTAAAATACAAAGTGAATAAAATAATTCCTTCCATTATGATAAATAATATGCAAGGTAAGACAATACAGCTAAATACCATATTAGAAATTACAAAGTAAAAATGGAGATATAGCATAATCAATTATCTGTTCTATAGGACAGGTGTTCCCAAAATGTAGTTTACCAGATGTTTTAGAACTATGATATCCATGATTTTTCATCATTATAAAGGTCAGTAGAGGCTCATCTATACAGGCAACTGAGGCAGAGCCCAACCAGTTTTTATGTTGGAAACAATAACTTTTAATAGTTTAGAAACACATACAGGTTTATGCACTAAAATTACTAAAATCCTGGTCAGGATTCGCTCGATCCAACTGACTATCATTGGTTTGGATGGTTTTGGAAAATCACTAATATCAGCATGCGAATCAATTTACAGCACTGGAATTGATGGATTTCAAGCCATCCAATCACAGTGCTCTGTGTCATTTTACACAGTGTGGGAAAGTTCTTTGGAATTTTCCCACGCTGTGTAAAATGACAAAGAGCACTCTGATTGGCTTAAACCCACCAATCAGAGTGTTCTTAGCCTAATTGCAGGGCGGGGCTCAGTCTGTGCGGAGCCCTCCATGGGTGAAGATGGATTATTTTTTTGCGCTCTGGTTTTTTTTTTTAGTTCGACGGTTATGTTGGTTTTTTATTTGGCCTTTTTTGGGGCTGAAAAATGAAGATTTGAGAAAAAAGAAGACGTTGAATGGTAAGTTTAATTTTATTTTACAGGTTAGTTATTTTATTCCCCCCTCACTATTTTTTAGGGTGAGGGAGGTAGGTAGGGACTTTTTATTTGGGGGGGGGAGGGGTGACTAGGGGCTTGGGGACCCCTAGTCACCTTGGGGGGGGAATTTACTTAGGGCCCCCACCTGCAGCCCAGGGGTGGGGGCCGGGGTGGGAGGACAGTAGGTCCCCCCCCTCATTATCTTTATGGCCCCCACCCGCCGCGCAGGGGTGGGGGCCGGGGGGGGCGTTAGGTCCCCCCCTCATTATCAATATGGCCCCAACCCACCGCGGTGGGGGCCGGGGGGGGCAGTAGGTCCCCCCCCTCATTATCAATATGGCCCCCACCTGCCGCGCAGGGGTGGGGGCCGGGGGGGGCAGGAGGTCCCCCCTCATTATCAATATGGCCCCCACCCGCCGCGCAGGGGTGGGGGCCGGGGGGGGCAGTAGGTCCCCCCCCTCATTATCAATATTGCCCCCACCCGCCACGCAGGGGGGGACAATAGGTCCCCCCTTATTGTTAATTTTCGGGCCCCCACCCACCGCTCAGGGGTGGGGGCCGGGGGGGACAATAGGTCCCCCCCTTATTGTTATTTTTAGGGCCCCCACCCACCGCTCAGGGTTGGGGGACGGGGGGAGGACAATAGGTCCCCCCCTATTAGTATTTAGGGCCCACACCGGGGGGGGGACCCTTTTTTTTTAAACAGTGAGCAGCCACAGGCTGCTCACTGTTTAATAGACATTCCCCTACTCGCGGTATTGCGAGTAGGGGCACAATTTACTAATACTAAGTAATTTTTACTTAGTATTAGTAAATTAATAGGGGGCGGACCGAACATCGCATATGTTCGCCATCCGTGGCGAACGCAAACACGCTATGTTCGCCAGGAACTATTCACCAGCGAACCGTTCGGGGCATCACTAATCTTCACCCATGGAGGGCTCATCGCAGAATGAGGTCTGATAGCGGGTAAGGGCTTTTATAGGCTTCCCATGTATTACAGGTATTACATGTGACAAGTTTCCCACACTTTACAATATGACCAGCAGTGCCCTGATCCAATCAGAGTGTTCTGACAGCCAAATCCAGAGAGAAGACTTTATTATGCATATTAAGGAGAGGCACTGGGGATGGGCCTATGTTCTATAGTCATTGTTGCCATAGTGGGAGTTTGAGCACAGGGCTTAATTTTGTGTATTTATTATTTGTTATTTTATTGCTCAGCCATGTTATAATGTTGCCACTTACCCCTATTAAGGGTTAACCCCTTCAGAACGGAGTCAATAGTACACGTTCTGATCAAGACAAAATGTAAACAAAAACTGGTATTTGCACTAGATGTCTGTTCAGCCGTAATTCACCTCTTTCATATTAAGTGCACCCAGGGCCGGCGCTACCTGTAAGGCAGACTAGGCAGCCGCCTAGGGCGCCCCTTGGGAGGGGGCGCCGTCAGGAGCGCCGGCCCCGCTTATCCTGCAGCCGCCCGAGCGCTCTGTAGAGAGCCTCAGGCGGCTGCAGCCAGGTTTGCCCGGGCGGTGCGTCCATGAGGGCGGACCGCACCGCCCGGGCGCAGCCTGAGGAGAGGCTGACAGGAAGGAAGCGCTCAGCGCTCCCTCCTGTCAGCTCCCTCTCTGTAGCGTGGCCGAGCCCTCTATGGCATGGTCCGACCGGTACAGAGAGCAGCTGTCTCCTGTACCGGGCCGGACTAACAGGAAGTGAACACTGAGTGTTCACTTCCTGTTAGTCCGGCCGGGTACAGGAAACAACAGCTCCCTGTACCGGTCGGACTATACTGGGCTCGGCCACACTACCACACAGGTAGGGGAGGGAGGGAGAAGAAAAAAAAAGAGAGGGAGGGAGGGGGAGAAGAAAGAAACAGGGAGGGAGGGGGAGAAGAAAAAAAAAGAGAGGGGG